CGAATGCAGAAGCAAGAAGGCTTTTTAACATGGGGCCATAGTCCAAGGGCAACAGGCGAGCAACCAATGCTTCGTGGCGAGGTTGGTTTCGCCACACGCCTCCATAGAGAATCAACGCAGCCTGGAATCTACACTAGAGCGCCTGAATGACATTTTTCAGAGATTCTGTCGGAGGATCCTGGAGCGGGAGCAGACTGTCATGGCTGAGAGGGAAATCCCTCCTAAGAGCACAGAGCAGCCGAGAGGAAACAGGCCTCCCCCGGGCAAAGCACACAAGCCTGCGCTCACTCACTCATCTGCTCGCCCGCCCGGGCTGAGAATCCCTCAGAGCACAACCCCCAAGCATCAGACGCCAAAGCGGAGGATCACTTCCTCTTTCCCTTATACGTTCCCTCTCCTGCCAATAACACAAGGGGGATGCTAACTATTTACTGTTTACTGCTCCAATTTTGAGGCACCCCGGAGGCCAGTGGTCCAATACCATCTGACAACCTAGAGCCCACGCCAGAACCCATCATTAGCCTGGTATAACCTTGCTGTCTCACTGCTTTTACCCAGTACCAATAGCATGTCTCACAATCTACGTTACAAACTTTATATACCTACATGTCTATGAATTTGCATGCATAGATCTTGCTTAGAATCCCCTCTAGACATGCTCTGCCTAGCCTGTACTCCCTATCACCATAAAAATGTGTAGTACAATCAAATGCCTTATAACTGTTATGCATTGTTCAGCTCATTATCTTGCCATTGCTGTTGGGGCACTGCAAGAATGTCTGTCACTCTCATGCACACAAAAATAAAGAATTAAAAAATATTTATATATCAGGAAGCACTACTTTACTGTGATATTAGTGAATGCATGGAATAGACTTCCAGCTGATTTGGTAGAGGTTAACACAGTGATGGAGTTTAAGCACACGTGGGAGAGACATAAGGCTATACTAACCACAAGATAAGGCCAGGGACTAATGAAAGCATTAAGAAAATTGGGCAGACTCGATGAGCCGAATGGCTCTTATCTGCCGTCACATTTTATGTTTCTATGTCTCCACCCACAGCATATGGCTGTTATATTGACCCTCATACGAACTTTATTTTTACTGTGGCAGCTAGCTAGAACAGAATTATTTACCAAAACTTTAGCAGCTATAGTACTACAAATTGCAAACATTAAGTCCCTCGTCTGGAAGAAAATCTCTCCAAACTTTACACTGGCCATTCTGCTACACATCAGCTGTTTAATTCAGTCACATATGCAAGTCTCTGAGTAAATGGTCCACTCTATGAAAGAGGCCTATTTAGGTGCTACTAAATCAATGCCAAGAATTAACACCGAATGGACTTCCAATCACATTCTAGCCATGTGTTATATATACATTTGTAGACTGTAGTCATCTGGAGATTGCTTTCCTCTGTTATCAGGGCTGTGCAAACAGATTTCCCATTAAAGGACCACTCATATTACCCAGGCTACCAAATCCTAATGGTCTGGGTTTGAAGCCTGCAATGTGGTTAAAAACACCTCTAGAGGCCATCTTCCTAAGTTTCACTTGGTCATTTGTTTTTTTTCAAAGCCCACAAGGACATGGAACATCAAGTGCAGCTTGTATTGAATTCATTGCATCTCCCTATAAAACACATTTGCTTAGACATGCGCATGCACCTTTTCCCCAATGCTCTATGAGGAGGAATGGATATATGAGGAAGCAAGATCCCAATACCATTAGGAATTCATGTTGGCATTTCTAGTGCTATAGTGTTCCTTTAACCATTACTAACACTCACTTGTGTATAGCTTAAATAATGGAATCAAAACTCTGCTAGCTAACAAACTCCTTAAAGGACCACTATAGTGCCAGGAAAACATACTCGTTTTCATGGCACTATAGTGCCCTGAGGGTGCCCCCACCCTCAGGGTCCCACTCCCGCCGGGCTGGATGGCAAGGAAAGGGGTTAAACTTACCTTTTTTTCAGCGCCGGGCAGGGAGCTCTCCTCCTCCTCTCCGCCTCCGATCCTCCTCTTCGGCTGAATGCGCATGCACGGCAGGAGCTGCGCGCGCATTCAGCCAGTCTCATAGGAAAGCATTCATAATGCTTTCCTATGGACACTGGCGTCTTCTCACTGTGATTTTCACAGTGAGAAGCACACAAACGCCTCTAGCGGCTGTCAATGAGACAGCCACTAGAGCACGGGTGTCAAACACAAGGCTCGCGGGCCAAATCCGGCCCGCCAGACCTCGTCATGTGGCCCGTGTAGCCGCCGCCGGCCGCCAGCCGCCAGCCCAGTGGCAGATCCAGGGGGGGGCAACGGGGCAATTGCCCCCCCCCACCCCCGAAAATACCGACGGTCTCCCTCTCCTGCCAGCCCAGCAATGTGCCTGCGGACTGGAGGGGAGATCACAGATCTCCCTCCCCGGTCCGCAGGCACAGTGCTGACAGCCGGCGGGGGAGGGAGGGATAGAGGACCCGGAGCCTAGCGTGGTCCTTTAATGTTACCCATTTGTGATAATGTAACACCAATAGGAAATCATACTGGTAGTTAAACCCCAACACATTTATCAGACAATTATCTAATGATGCACTTACTTTGGAAACAAAACCTAACAGGGTTACTCAAAGTAAAAACTCAAATTTAAGATTTGAACAGGAAGCACAGCTAACTTAGTGAATGTTTCCAGATCAGCTATTAGAACCTTGAATTTGTAATTCACTTTGAAATCTCACTTCAGGGAAGAACCCTGTAAGATTCAGTGGTCCTTCTTGGTTTTGGAGACAACCATAACAATTTGTTTTATTCTGGTCTACTGCTAAATCTACAGTAATCAAATGGTCATGTAAGAGTACTGTTCACTTGGAATGTTGTAGTAACTATTTATGGCAATGTTAATCAAAACCTTGGACGACATCTTGCATATATGTTTGCAAACGTCTGCATTAACACTATCATCTTTACCAGGACTCAGAAATTCCACCAGTGGGTGAAAATTCCTGGGTGAAAACATAGGACTTGACATTTTAAGCAATTGTCCTACCTACACTCCTCTACTAGAAGTAGACTTCTAATCAAGTGAGCAGAATTATGCTCACCTACATGTACAAAAGGTGACACAACCAGAATTGTGTGAGCCGAGGTAACTCCAGTCTTACCTTGTGTGCAAGCACTACAAGCTTGACTGTCTATAGCACCATCAAATAAAGAACCCCTCTATTAGGAGTACTAAAAGTAATAGTTGTTGGATGGATGTAGGTTTTTTTTTTTTCATATGGTGGCAGTATGTATGGGTTGTGCTTCCTTACTGGGGCAAGCATCTGCATAATAGGTAATTAAGAAAAGTCCCACCCCAGTTCTTCCTTGTTCCAGCACGAGACGGATCAAGCGTCTGTTTAAGGTGAGGCACACAGGTTGCTGTCTGGGGGAGGAAGCCCAAAAGCTGCCCAGGTGGTAGGCTGTGTTACATGGCTCCGTCCATGGAGGTTCCAGAGCCACTTCTGTTTAACTCTCCGCTGAGTGTGTTCTGGCTTGATGAGTATGGGCAGGCCGGGGGACACCTTCATTATGTTGCAGGCCATGCGGCTGCACACAGCGGTGGAACGCACGCCCGGTGTTGCGTTCCACCAAAGGTTCAGGTGTGCTATTGCGTAGTGATCAACCGATTATCGGATTTAACAATGTTATCGGCCTATATTCAGTATTTTCTACATTATCTGCATCTAATCTTGCCGATAAGGAGTCCAGCGCACTCCCCCAATGTGTCTCTCGGCAAAACAAGGCTTCTAGAGATGAGCTGAAGACCCGGGCCGGAAGTGGTCCTTCTGGCCTACTAAAAAGGTAATTTTCTTTTCTTTGTTTACTCCAATAAACATAGTATATTTAGTTACTCAGTCAGTGAGGGGGGCAGGGGTGGATGGCACTATATAACTACTATATCATAATAAAGTTCTGGGTGGGGTGTGTGTGTATGTATGTATGTGTGTGTATGTATGTATGTCTGTGTGTGTGTGTATGTGTATATATATATATATATATATATATATATATATGAATAAATCCCTTGGTAGTCCGTGGGGAGGGGGGTGGTGGATATTGACATCTGGCACTATATTATAAATTAATAAAGCCCTTGGTAGTCAGGAGGGGGGTGGTGGATTGTGGCAGTGGCACTATATTATAAATAATAATAAAGCAAGCAGCCCTTGGTAGTCAGGAAGGGGTGGTGGGGCATGGCCCTATATGATAAAGCTCTGGGTATATTGTTGGCATATTTATATTATAAATGATAGTAAAGCCCTTGGTAGGTAATTGATAGTATATTGGCACTATAAAAATTATGATAAAGCACTGGGAGTGGGTAGTATACTAAAATGCTCCCAAGAGGCACTAAGTTGAGCAACATAATTTCACTGCTCACCCCCCTCTCCCTGCTGTGAGCTGAGGAGGAACACAACCAGAACTCATAAGCACCAAACCAGAGGCAGAAGGTAAGACTGATGTTTCTTTCTGATATCAACCAGAGCTACAACCTGTCAACCACCACAGTGCTCTTTGTAACATACAATACTTACCTTCACAACAAGCCTTCTTCCACGTCCAGCCGCCAGCTAAAGAGGCTTTATGTCATACAACCTCATGTTGTCGTCATCATCACCCTTGCCTGCTGTGAGTAGAACGTCAGAAGCATGCGGAGCACTGCTCAAGGTAGATGAGAAAGTGAGTTTGGGGACAACTGACTAGTGCTAGTACACAATATAATAAATAATATTGAAATGATTTCATCAACAATATTTCCTATACACACAGACCGCATTATTATTAATAATGCTGTCTGTGTGTAGAGGAAATATTTTTGCTGGAAATCATTTCAATATATATATATATATATAGTCTAGTCTACCCCTCTGCTGTGCTTATTTAATTTTCAAATCCCCCTATAATATTAAATGCAATAAAATCACTCACACCAATGATACTGTTATAGCACTGGGGTCAGTGATTTTCTGCATGCAATTAATATAAAGTAGTAATGAAGTCAACACAAGCTTTTAGTGTTGTATATAATTACTTTACTCTCCCCTCGTCCACATATTTCTTGGGTAAGAATAATTATAGGTTTGTGAAATGTAAACCGTCACTGTATTGTTTGTGTGCGCGCTGTTCCTTAATCTGTACTGCTCCTATAAGTAGAAGACTAATAGTGATACATTCTAGGCTAGGGAGGATCATCTCATCTCAATGATCTCATCCCAGTATGTACTGGCCGGGTGAGCATGGCAGGAGTATGACTGCTGACAGCATATACACAACTATCAGTAACTGTACATGCTGGGATCTCATATTCATATTAATATTGACATTGGTTTGTTTTTTGTTTTGTTTTTTTGTGTGTTTTTTTCAATGCAGATGGATGCACAATAAAAGTAAAAGTATAGTTTGGGACAATTTTAGTCAACCCTCCCCAGGACAGGTAATGTGCAACACATGCAAAACCAATGTGGGCATGGAATATGCAACTGCAAAAACCAAGAATACATCAAATCTTTGGACTTGTCTAAGAATTCATCATGTTGAATTATTTAAAGATGCACAGAAAACAAAAGAAAGTGAATCATATGAAACACCAACTCTATTCCAGCCAAAAATAACACCTATTTCAGGAACACACAAAGTGACAAAAGTCTAATTGAAAATTCCCAACTTCTTGACAGAGCAATCACAGATGATGGTTTACGGATAACCAGCCATTTACAATGGTGTCTGACTCTGTCTTTAAGCGCTTGGTGTCCATAGTTGAACCAAAGTACACACTGAAGAATGAAAAGTATTACATAACTGAAATGCTGCCAAAGATTGCTCACAAGGTGGTTCAGAAAGTAAAAACAATGTTACAACCAGAGAACGCTGGTGATTCACTCTCATTCACTACTGACTGCTGGTCTGGATCAACAGAATCACTGAGTCTTATGTCACTTAATTGATAATGGATGGGCAAAAAGCCAGTTCGTGTTGAATACAAAGATGATGCAATGATCCCACACTGGCGAGTACATTCAAAAAATGTTTCTAGGCATGCTTGATGACTGGGGGTTAAACAAAGATCGAGTGATACTTGTGCTTCGAGACAGCAGAGCAAACATGGTGAAAGGAAGGAAGCTGGCTGAAGTGTCACACCCTGCAACTTGTGGTCAATGATGGTCTGTCAAGCCAGATAGCTGTGATCAACATAATTGCCATGCTAGAGAAGTGTGCAAGCCATTTCCACCATTCATTCATTGCCAAACACCGACTTAGGCGCATTCAGTCAAAAACAGCCTGATTCAGGCTGTTCCAACACGATGGAACTCCACATGCTGCAAAGAATGCTGAAACAGAAGCAAGCTCTTAGCATCTATTCTGGTGAACATGGATAATATTCTTACCGTAATGCTGATCAGTGGGAGATTGTAGCAAATTTCATTCAGACCCTTCTCCCAATAGAGGAAGTGACCCTAGAGGTTAGTCAGAAAGACTCAAGTGTGTCATCCGTCATTCCATGTGTGAGAGTGCTGAAGAGGCTTCTTCAAGAGAATGAAGGGCCTACTACACATGGCATTAAAACACTCAGGGAGGTCATGAAGGAAAGCCTCAACAAACATTTTTTGAAGTATGAAGAGAATATAAACGTAGAGTTGGCATGTCTTTTAGATCCTCGATTCATCATCATGCTTTCTCTTCTGATGATGTATTGACCAAGGCAAGAGGCTGGCTGACAGAAGATATGCAAAAGGAGGTGCAGCATCTAGAAAGGTCACATCTGAAAGAGCCTGATGCTACTAGTCTGGAAGAGCAAGATGACGATGTTACAGAAACTTACAAATTCCCAAAAAGTTAACACATGGGGAAAGATGGCTGAACATGGCATCAATTTGGCCATGGTTAAGAGTTTTCTTGGGGCCTCATGTAGAGGATTCTCTAACTTTAACAAAAGTCAGCCTTGATGATGAGCTTTATCTTTATTTGAAAGCACCAGTGATCACTATAAAATGGCAATCCACTTGAGTGGTGGAAAGAAAATGACACACTTTAAAACCCTTGCTTCTTATGCCAGAAGATACCTCTGTACCTAGTGAGCGTGTTTTCAGTGAAGTGTCAGCAATCTATGAAAGAAACAGAAGCCGTTTAACAGGAGAACATGCAGAAATGTCATGCTTTCTGCACGACAATGTACTCCTTCTCAACTGAAAGTATTGAAGAAATGTTTATGTTTTAGATTAGTTTCTCAAAATTATTTAACCCCTTAACACCGTTAGGGCGTTCTATGTCGTCCCGCATTAAATGGGCTTTAAAGCCGTTGCAGCGGCATAGAACGCCGTAACGGCTTTCAGCCCCTGGAGGTCCGCGGTACTCACCTGCGCCACAATCCTCTTCGGGAGGGCTGCCTGACAGCCCAGGCTGCCATCCCCCGGCAAATGAGGCCCCCAGGGGCCATGTGATCGCTCTCAAAGAGCGATCACATGGCCCCCTATATCTGGCTGTGGATCTGCCAGCAGGAGGACTGTCTGAAATGTCACAGTCCCCCTGCTGGTGGGAAAGTAAAAAAAATAAAAATAAACATGTTTTAAAATAAAATAAATGTATTTATTTAAATATATATCTTGAAAAAAGTCAGCATTGACTGAAACGTCAAAATTTTTTGTATTCTGCACAATAAAGCAGTATTTACTTTTCAATTTATAAGACTCCAGAGTGCTCTCTTCTTGGATATTACATACTGGTTGGAGATTGTTTGCACCGGAGCATGAAAAGACCGGGAACCTTGAGTGCTGGGATCTGGGATATATATATATATATATATATATATATATATATATATATATATATATATATATATATATATATATATATATATATATATATCCATTTTATATATGTAACGTGATACGTAATGTATTTTAATGTTAATATAAGTACATATATTAGTATTAAAATACACTTAGAATGACGTTACAGCCACTGTAGATTATACTTCAGGAGAATCAGCATCTGAAACAGAGCATACTAGCCAACGCCCAGAAAGCACTCATCAAAGAACTGAAACAAGCAAGAGCAACAATGTAGTTTATTTAGAGCCAGGCCTGGGCCTTACCAGGGAACCTGTATTGACGAATACACATCAAAGAAATATAAGCGACACAAATCGACATTTACCTGAAACAGACCAGCCAGTTGAGGCCAGAAGGGGAAGGCATACCGGCATCAGAGGGAGACCTCCTCGCAGGTAATTGATAACCCTATCATTAATTTATCAAGCAAAATATTAACAATACCTGAAACCACGTTGTTATCAAAAGGACTGTCATTTATTCCCACCACTGATTTTAATGACTTTGAATGAAGAGTCGATCAATATAGATTCCAACGTAAACTAAGTCTGGCTGACTTCTTTAAATCTCGCCCAGACAACGTTGTAAATGAACAGCAAGAAACTATGAAATTATATAGTTTATTTGATCCACCAAGTAATAACGCTTCCTTCTCACAGAGCCTAAGATCTGAAAGCAGACGTTACCTCAATAAGACCAAAAAAGGTGCCAATATTTCCAAAAGTGAAAGGGATGCCCTTAACAACTTGGCTGCAGATACTACCATCACTATTCGTCCAGCGGACAAAGGTGGGGC